AGGAGATGGGGATGGAAGGGCCTGGCAGGGTGGCAGCCCATGGGACACAGAGGTGAGACCAGACAGAGGTTACAGCAGCTGATGAGGAAAGAACCAGGTAAGACTAAACCTGGAGAATTTACAAAAGTTTTTTTTTGTAATTTACAAAAGAATTTACAAAAGTTGCATCATTACAAGGTCTATTGCATATACATACACACCCTATGCAGCATACACACCAAATATACATAATGTATGTGACAAATGACATCAATTTATATATCTGTACCTAATCTAAAGAAAATGTATTTTTCAGGAATTTGGGAGATATAGAATGTGACATTATAATCACTATTCTGCTTTATTGAAATTGGAAAAAAAATTAGAAGCATGAGAACAATGAGGAAGAAGAGGTGTTGGAGAAACAAATGACCTATTAGACAGCAGGAGAAATCACCAGCTGAAGGAAAATATGAATGAGACAAAAGCATTCACTCTGTCCTCTCACCTGGAGCCTGACTCAGGCTCTGGACTCGAGGGAACGTGAGTAAGAGAGAGTGTGTGTGAGCCAGTGGGGGGAGTCTTGGCTGGGGTGTGAGAATCCATAGAGAAGCAAAGGATTTTTTCTTCCCGTGGGAATAAATCAGTTTAAATAAGTTATCATGGCACTGTAAGGGACTGCCTATCTCCTGACAACCGCTGAGCACCATCCATGTGTCCTCTCTAGGGACCCAGATGGTGCTTGTTATCTCACATGACCTTCTCTCCTCCTGAGAACACGGGTCCCCTCATTCTTCACCTGAGGATATCGCCTGACAGATGAGCAGCAGGCAGCCCCAGGGGCTCTAGCAGGTGATATTGAGTGGGATGGAGAGTGAGAATGAACACGACCCAGGGTTTTAAGGAAATCTGAACCCAAGTGGATCCCTGTGAGATGGAAACTGAGGACATGGCTGTGGACATGAGTGGAGATGATGAACTACATGGATTTTCATAAAAGAGACTGATGTGAATACTTGCCGTGTGAAAGTTGCTCTTTGTTTTCAAAAAGAGTCAAAAAAAAAAAAAAAGAGAAAAAGGAGCTAGACATGTCATGAGACTGACTTGTGGGCCCAGGTTTAACACTGTTACTGAATGTGCCTCATAGGTTGTCACTGAAAGTGTCTGATAGTGGAGATTTGGCTTCATGAGGGATGGGGAAGAAGAGGAAGAAAACCGGCAGGGGAGTATGTGTGAGAAACCAAGGGAAGATGGGTCTCTAGAAAATGGAGAGCATCACAATTGCTCTACCTCACAGAAGGCATAGTCTATGAAGTCACTTTCTAAATGTAAATTTGGCAGAAAGAAAAGTGGATTAGACAACAGCTATTTATAGGTATATTGAGGAATTGTTACTGAATCAGGACCTTTGGAAATTATAATAATTCGCTCAACAATGATTACAGGTAGATGCTATTTCTTAGGTAGCTCTGATGAGAAAACAGAGATTTACATTCCCAAAAGGCAAATTCTTAGGTCAAAGTGAACAACCAGAAAGAGGCAAACCCAGGACCTGAGAGCAGATTTTGTCCTAAGCTCCAGGCTCTTGCTCACCTCACTGGGTTGGAACATTCTGGATTTCAACTTGACCCTGAGTGAGCACAGAGAGGCCCCATTCTCTCCTCCATCCATAGCACCATG